AGAAAATTTGAGATCCTGAGTCTGGATATTAGCTAGTGTGACTTGTTTACTTGAGTGTGTACACCAGCCCCAGAACAGAGATGCTCTCAAAGAGCATACAAACATCTTTGCACCAGGAATCTCACCCCAGATGCCAACATCTGGTTCTGCTGTGTTCAGCCCTTGGGCTTAGGGGAACTTATTCCCTATTTGGATACATTTCCCATTGAGTTCATGAAGAATTTTGTCTGTCTGAAAGAGAGATCCAAAGAAACCTGTGGAAGCAAGCTGCTATTTTGTCTTGAGAAGACACCAAGTAACTGCTAGAAGGTATTTAATTTTCTCTGCAGTCCACATGGCCTTTAATCTGATTAATCTCTGGCCCTGGTAATCGAAGATGAAGTTTTGATCCCTTGAACCCAGTGGCAAAACTCTCATTCATTTCATGAGAGTCAGGATTCAAGCCATGTAGCCAGTCCCAGATGCTCCAATGCAGAAAAATGTTATGGGCTGATTAGTGCTGAAGTGCCTCCCAGGGTTTGATAATTGCTCATACAGCTCTCAGCCTCGGAAAGGCTTGAGACAGATTAATCATGAAACACAGCTCATTGCACCTGTTATTTTCCACATCCACTTTTATGGGAAGTGCTGCTTCTTTTCTGCAGTCTCAGAGAGGCTGTGCTGGAAGGGGGGGATGGCAGCAGAGGATGTGCATGCAGCCAGTACCAGCAGAGCACAATGCCTCCAGCAAAGAGGGGAAGATGGGGAGCAGTTTTGTCATAGGGTTAAACATCTGTGGCATGAATCCTCCAAAAGCATTTTCAGCTAGAGCAGATCTTGCTTGAGACAGATGGCTAATGGTCAGCAGAGCCTTTGGGCCCAAGAGGGAAGTTGGTTCTACCCTAATGTTTTTCCCTGCACGAGGGGAACATGACAGTGTTTCACCATCAGCAGCTGTGGAAAGTGCAGCTTTGGGGGGCAGTTGGGTCCAGAGTGGGGCTGTTTGGGCCAGTGCAGGGCTGACAAAAACGTTTAATGGCTGTGGGACAGAGCAGAGTTCTTTACTGTGCAAATTTCAGGAAGCCTTGTTTGGTTTTGGTTGGTTTTTTATTTAGAACCACTGATATCAGCATGGAAACTGAACAAACTTTCAAGCCCATTAATTCTTTATCATGTCTCAAATAAAGACCTAAGAGGGAGCAGCTCTTTTTTTCAGTCTGTGGAGCTGGACCTCTGAGAGAGCTGCACTGGGCTGCACCATGCAGGCTGACAAGTCAAAGAGCATTTCCGTACCTTATTTTCAGCCTGCTCAGAGCAAGACAAGGTGGTGTGTGCCCAATGCAAATGCTGATGATGGAGACCAGCAGCTCAGCTTTGCAGTGCAAAGTTTTTTGCTGAAATACTCTGTCAGAAGAACCACTCCCAAAAGATGAAAGGGGACTCCTGATGCTGGCATAGCAGGGTTCATTTGCTGCTACAAAGGGCAGTGAACACACAGAAACACGACAAAAAGAAGTCTGGTTTGGGCTTACTGCATCTTCTAGTTTTCTTCTTCTGTCAGTGCTCTGCAAGGGCTATTTTCAGTTCCATAGTTATGGTGAGAAACATGGTGTATTTTTATTCCTAATTTAGCTTGTTTATCCTGAGAGATTCCAGGATCTTCATTTGAGAGATAAATTCAAACCTTCTTTTTTCCTTTGCAGCCCACATTCCATAACAAAAACATTGCATGCCATACTTCATTACAGGGCTTGGAAGACCTTCATGACCATAAATTTAGGAACTTGTGGAACACAATGGACTTTAGGATGGAAACAAGCCAGTTGGCCTATCTGGTCAGGTCCATCCCTTCTGTTTGAATTAACAGCTGGATTTCACAGTGGGAGAAATCCGGCAGTTCTTTCTCAGGCAAAATTCTCACAGTTGGATTTGCCTCCAACCACTGTAGCAAGGGTGGGAGGGAGCACAACTTACTTTGTTATTTTATGTTTGCTCTCCGGGTACAAAAGACTCCAGTGGAAGTTCCATAGGACTTGGACCTACCCTGTTCTTTAATTTAATGACCCTAAGTGCAAAAAGAAAGACATTCCCAGTGCAGCAGAGACAGAGACAAGGTTCTTTGTGCAGAGCAGTGCAGATGGTACCCACGTTCTGGTGAAAGCAATTAGAAGCTCATGCTAAGGCAAAATAAAGAGGTTAGGACCATTTGTTGCTCTGAGAATTCTATCTAGGAGAGGAGGTGCTGGCACAGTTTTGCAGACTGTGAGATGGGAGGTGTTGGGTATAACATGCAAAGGTTGGATTCACAGACGCTGTTTCAGTTCCAGAGGTAATCACACCAAAGTTAGCAGATTTGCAGGGATTTACACCCTCACAGAGGGAGGAGAACATGGCCCAGAAGAAACAGAGAGGGGAGAGGCCAGCTGGAATGAGCAGCACAGGATTTCCATGTCTTGACTTTGGGATCTGAAGGGCTGATCACAGGCAGGGATTGATGTTACACAGCCAGAGCTGAAGTTCAGGTCCCTGTGTGCTCAGGGGTGTGTGGTGGAGGTTCCCTCTTTTTCCCTGAGCTTGAGTGCAGCTGGACTTGGGGTATGGCTGCCCTCAATTCACAGCAGAGACTTGGCACACAACCCCAAGAGCCCCTGAGATATCAGCTCTGTACTTCTGGAAGATGTGTAGCAAAGTTTTCCTGAGGCTCTTCCTCCCAAACCCCTTCCCCTCTCCCTGTGTCCTCTCTGTTGCTAGAGAGTGGGAAAGACTCACAAGATTTGGACCTGGGTAGGTAAGTGGTAGCCAAAACAGAAACCTCTGTGATCAGAAAACAGTGCAGAAATCAGGATTTGGTTATGAGGGAGAAACCAACCTGCTGAGTGGCTGAGGAACACAGTGGCAATTCAGGCCATGGCATGGAGCACAACAAAGCAAAGGCATGGGGAGAGCCAGATCACCAGGGTGGGTTGACCTTCAAATGCTCTTTGAGCACAGCTTCTCTTTCTATGAGGAGTTAATAGGTCTCAGCTAAGAGAGACTAATAAGATCTTTCTGACTGGCAGAAAAATAGGGGAACTTGGCTTTACTGACAAAGAAAAGGTTTGATTTCAGCTATCCTAGTCTGCATTAATGCTCCCATAATGTGGAGGGGGTTCTGCTGAGGGAGAGGTCCCAGTAAGTGAGGTCAGCTGCTGGCCTGCCTTGGGTGTTGTCTGGCCTCTCTTCACTGGGGGAGAAAAGATGCATCCTTGCATCCTTGCCCAAGTACTTTGAACTTCATTCTGAGTCTGATGTTCATTTTGCCGTGCAAAACCCACTTCTGTGACACCAATGGCAAAAGCCAAAGAAATTAAATCAGGAGAAGTGAAATTGCTGCATAATAACCTGGCGTGGCTCCATCAAAATCTTTGTTTTGTCATGGGAAGCCTTCCTTTAGAAGGATAAGCAAACAACCCCCCTCCAGGGTCCCTCAGTGGGGCCAAGCCTTGCCTCTCCCCAGAAAGAAACCTTTCATCTTTCCTTTGCAGAGGTATTTATGCTGCTGAAGGGAGAGCTCTAAAGGATTGTTCCCCCTGACCATGCCCCCAGCCCAGCAGGCAGGAGCTGCTGTCCCACTCCCTCCTCCTGCCTGAGCTCAGCCTCGGGACAGGGTCAGCCCCACCTGAGGCACCTCTGCTGGGCTAAGGAAACCCACGGCTCTTCTGGGTCTCTCTCTGCAGTCAGGAAGGTGCCATGAGATGAGGAATTGAGCCAGCAGCTTCTCCCAGCCTGCCCAGCCTGCTGATGGTCCTGGAGGGTGCAGAGCCTTGCCCTGCACTGCTCATCCCTGGTTCAGCTCAGCTTTGAACCCCGGTGCCAAACGGGAGAATATTCACCTGCTTCACACAGGGCAAAGAGGGGTGTTCCTGTGAGATTTTCTTTTTTTTTCTTTATGCAAGTGGCTGGCAGGCTGTGATGGAGCTGTAGAAATAGCTCTGGATTCAGAGAAGAAAGAGACCTGGACTTTTTCCCTTCTTCCCTGAGAAAAAGTAATTTACGTAAATTTATCCACGGCCAGCACACGGCAATAGCTCACAACTTTGTTAATGGAAACCTGGTGATCCATAACACTTGTGTGGGAGATATTTGCTCGGGGGTAATACAATATTAATGTTAATATCAATGATCGATCAGAGGATTTGCAAGAAAGGCATAAAGTATTTAATTATAATTACATTGGGAATGGCTTTGTAATGGCTACGACATTTGAATAAGGTCACGTCTAGCCCTCACCCCTGTTATGTTGTTCTATATTAAATGCCATTCACTTTAACTGCTGGAAACCTTTCTGGAGTCGTCAGAATATAATATACTGGGTAAATTGAAATATGTCCCTTCATTTTTCGAAATATGATTGATATCCTTTGCAAAACAAATGTTAACACCTCTTTGTACACAAATTTCTTTGATTATATGTTAGGGAAACTAAATTACGGCAGTCTCTCCTAGCAGGCACTTTTCTGTGAGCAAAGGACATGGCTATTTGTGAATATTAATTCATCTTACAGAAAATGGCTTTGGATCTCTGCTGTAATTCCACTTGGGTGTATTTCTGCCTTTCCTAATGCATTAATTCTACATTGATTAGTAGCCATAAACTGCTTCTCCACTGGTCTCAGCAGCCCACAATGTTCACCTGACCCAGGTGTTGCTGGGGAGGAACTTTTGCTGTTACTGAATTATCTCTTGTTAACAGCATCAACCAAGAACACATAGTAACAATCATATTTGCATGTTTCACAGCAGGAAATATGTATTTCAAATATACTGCAGGTGTGTACCATAACTATCAGCCCAACAGCAGCATTGCCATGTTTAAAACAATCAGGAAAAAGATCTGTGTGTAAAAGAGGAATATTTATCTGTAGGCAGGGTCCCAGAGGTGCACAAGTTCCCACCCCCCATGAGTGCATGCAAACACTGAAGCACTAAGTGAGGACATGCTCTTCCCACACATATTTACTACTGAGCATAAACAATAAAAGAGCAAATTCTCATCCCTCTTCAAATGAGAATCCATCTGTGCAGTGCCCCCACCACCCCGAGATTTTCTACTCTTTCTAATATCAATGTAAACTCTAAAGAGTCAAATTTTGCTTTCAGATTTTCCCCCAGAATAACTGTTGATTCACAGAGAATTGAAAGCTCCCATTTGAAGGCAGAATTTGTTCTTAAGAAATCATCCCTTCAAAGTTTGGAAGACATGCAGTGATGTAATTGACATGATTTTCCATTTTCTCTTTTCTGAAGAAGAAGCAAAGACTTTTGCATGCTGTAGAAATGCTTGAAGAGAATAAGTTTTATAGTTTTCCAAAAAATGGGCATTTATTACCAATCAGTGTGAAATACCACTGATGGTGAATTTTAAGTATATGGCAGGAGTTTCAGCATCATGACAACATACATCATGCATTTTTACAACGTATAAGTGCAGTGATATTGCTCCCTTTCTCAGTAACAATTTATAAGAATATATAGTATAAATGTACAGTATATATTAGACACAATGTAAAATAACTTAGTGAAATGTCGAAGCTTCTGCATAAAAATTCAAGTCATGCCTGAGCATACCTCTATGCTGAATCTTATCTCATATACCTTCATTTACCTTTAGTTCCTGTTGCAAAGATAATTTTATCTCTGTATTTAATTGCTTAAAACTATCAGAATTCTTGTCTTTTTTTCCTTTTATCTGCAGTAGGTGAAGACTGTAATAGCCAAGTGAAAGCCGGGATATTGTGGAGCCTTTGCTAACGCTGTTTATGTTCTCGGAAGCAATTCATTGTGAACAAGTTGTATAAAAGCAACTTCTTAAAAGCTTATTACAGTTCCTCATTGTCCATCAGGTTCTGTTCCAAAATACCCCACTGCATGTAAATGATAATGAAGTGGCTTTCTCAGAAATGGAGCTCACGAGCTAACATTGATATCTGGAAATTATAAATCTCACCAGTTTAGCTGAAATCATATCAAGCACCACTTTGGTAATTGCTTGCAAGAAGGATCAATAAAAATCTGTTTAATGGGAATATACAACTTGTCTCAGAGCAGGTAGGTGGAATTTTAGCTTTGCTCAACACTCGACAGAGCTTTTTGCAGTGCCAGGTTTCCCTTCACACTTGCTAAATGAAATATGGTTAAGGACTTTTCTGCAGCATCTCAGGAATATTTCTGATAGTACAAGGGAAGAAGTGTTGGGGTTTTTTTGACCAAGGCATTAAGAGACTCCTTGACTGTCACATTACCTATCAAAGCACCAGAGTTCAGCATCCTTGCAATTAGGTCTCTTGGAATTATTTTGAATACAACTTCACTTCAACAATTTAAACAATTCTGCCCCGAATATAAACAAAAATATACTTGAAATACTTATCAACAACTGTGTTTCCTAATGAACAATGAATTAAAACTGCAAAACAGTTTGAAATAAGATGTTAAAAGAAAAAAATCAGGAAAGACAGGGCGATTTTCTCTAATTCCTTTTAAGAAACAAATTTCCACCCCCTCACCCCCCTACATTCCCAGCCAGTGTAAGTCGACAGAATTACACTGTTTTAGATCAGCTTAAGTTCTGACCTATATACTCCAGTGGAGTTAATCCTAATTTCCACCACTGAAAGTGGGATCAAATTCACTTTGTCTTTAATAAAGCAGTGGATGATAAGCAAGTCTCTTCTCTGTCAGATTCTGCTTGAGAAAGGAAATTCTTTGTGGTGCTAAATGATGTCCAGGACAGTTTAGAAAAAAAAGCTAGAATTTCATAAGTTTCAGCATGGTGAAAACCGATATTGGTAACAGATATTTATGCTTTAATCTTAGCAAAGTTCCTTGGGTACAGACAGGGCATCAGCTGGTGAGTCTGTAACCCTTTCTGAGCACTGCTTGGGAGGAAAATGAGGAGGCAGGCAGCTGATTTTCAGTGACATGAGGCTGCTGAACACACTGTGACTCAGACTTTGTTACCACGAATAAATAACATCACATTGTCCAGAACTGGAGATTAATATGCGGGGCCTCCAGTAGGTGATATTTATTTTCTTGCATGTTACACTGAGATCTCAGGACAGGCAAAGGGTCGGGGGCTGAGAGGATGTAATCGATGCTGAATTTGATTTCAGAATCCGATTTTGCCAAGGAGGAATTGCTTAGGCTCTGCCTGTTGGTCACGCTGTTTGGAGCAAACCCACAAGGCTCCAGAAGTTTTGGGCCCGGTTCAATTCTCTCATGTTTACTTTCAGAAGAGGAAATGTTGTTCAAAGCAGAGTCCACAGAAGAGGTATTGGGGGATGAAGGACTCTTCACTCTGCTGGGTCGCTGCTCCTTGTGCTCCCTTTTCACATTCCTCCTCCTCCGTCTTCTCCTGTAATTCCCATTTTCAAAGAGATCCAGCATGGATTCGCATCCTGCTGCAAAGCTCCAATAGTTTCCTTTCCCCTTCTCATTCCCTTCTGTTCTGGGAACCTGTATTTATTTAAAGGCAGTTCAGTGTTTGTATGTGTTACAGATGCTGCTGTTTAGCATCTGCATTCATTTACGTTTAAGAATGGTGTAAACACATATGACAAGACTTTTAAGCCTATTCTCTGTCATTATATGAGTAAGATGTAAGCCCCATCCTCTTCAATTTGTTATCTATTAACATACATCAGACAAGGATATATTCCTTATCTCTGTAATTGACAACTCAGAGGGATTTTAAGTGATTTGCAGCTCAGCTGTTTGTTTCCCTTCTTTCCTAGTGATGAGATTATTGCTGCCTATATTTTTTTAGCCATGCACAGTGTGTATGTAAATACACAGTAACTGATCTTACCTTCACAAAACAACTGTTAAGTGATAAGTTATGTCGGATGGAGTTCTGCCAGGCTCTTTGATTTGATCTGTAGTAAGGAAATTTCTTCATTATAAAGTCATAAATGCCAGAGAGGGTGACTTTATTTGAAGGGCTTTGCTGGATGGCCATTGCAATTAAGGCAATGTAGCTGGAAAAAGGAAAACTTGCTGTTACACCATCACCCTACTCACAGACTCAGTTTTTTAGGACCACATGGGTACATGTGTGCCTATATCCTGCTTCCAAAATTTCCCTCACCCGAGGTGTCCCAGGGAGAAGCCCTGAGTGTGGTCACTGCCTGTCTTCCACGAGCCCCAGGTGACACAGCAGGGTCACTGCCAGGCACTCAATGCAGAGGACAGGATCCTCTACAACTCCTTCTGAAAAGTTTCCCTGAGCAGGAAGGCTGCAGTGAGGCAGAGTCACTGTCACAGGAGACCACCCCTGCTCATGGAAAGGACCCTGGGTGTCCCTGTGAACACCTACACCGTGCCTCTCCCCACCACTCCGGGGTTTTCTGCATCCTATTCACCCCCTGGCACACTGAAATTCACTTCTCCCAGGGGTCCTGGAGGTTGGAGAATGTCTGAGATCTGGAAGCTTAAGGGCATGCTGGAGTTGCTCTGACCCCTCATGAGAGGAAACAAATCATGAACACTTCGGAGACAGAAAGGGGGAAACCTGCCCACTGCAGTGCCTGCAGCAGGGCCAGACCCATCGCACACACCTGGCCCCTGCTTCCCTGTGAGCTGTGATCCCACCAGCCCAGAAACCTCACAGAGACAAGGGGACTTGGAAAAACTTCATCTTACCTGTACGCTGGTCTGGTGAATTTTTTCTCTTCGTCAGAGCTACAGGTAGGATAATCATCCCCATCATAATTGAAGCAGTTATAGGGGTACTGCGTGTTGTCAAACATCGTCCTGCTCCTTGCTCAGCTCCTGTGGAGTGAGAGAGATGGAGTGATGTTTCTCAGAGCTTGGACTCCCTCCTCCCTTCTTCCCTCCCCTCTGTCTGTCTCATTCCCTCTCTCCCCCCTCCCCACACTCCCTCTCCTCCGTGCACACACACTCTCCGTGATGGGGTGGGGATTGTTTTTGCAATTCTCGCGTCCCAGGCAGCCCGTCTGTTCGGATATTATTTTTTGGGGGGTGTGTTATTGCTGTCCCTGCAGCTGTCCCCAGCAGTGGGGTGGCTGGGGGGGCTGGCGGAGCCGGGAGTTGGGGTGAGCCTCTGGAGCGGGGTGCGCGGTGCCGGTAGCCGCGCTCAGCTCGCTGGGTGGTCCAGGCTGGAGAGGGGCCAGCGCTCCCCCGCCACATCCACAACGTGACAAAGGCAAGCAGCATGATGTTCATAAATCATGCTTCAAGGTCTCCACTTGGAAATTAAACTTTGAGAACGGAGTGCAGCTCCCCACAGCCCCCGAGTGCTCCCCCTCTGGATTTTTCTCTCCCCAGCAGAGCAGGGTGGCTTTTCTTAATTATTTATTTTTAGAAAACCGACGTACAATAAACAGACGTTCCAGGCAGTAATGCACGCTTGTCCTGATCTGCAATCTATAATGCAGTATAATAGACATAAATTATATTTCCATGACTAAAGGAAAATCTGTATGTTCAAAGAAAGTAGAACAGAGGGGTATGAGGGACTACTGTCAAGCAGGAAAGTAAAAGGAAAATAGCTGTAGGCAGGAGAGCTGCCTGTGTGGGCTTTGATCTGAAGGATGAATTAGACTAATAGCCCTGTGTGTTGGCATCCAATACTGTAACAATTTAATAGTTTTTCAATGCTTTGGAGTGTTTTCCAACAAGTGATGTAAACCAAAGGCATCACGCACCATTTCAGGGGGGACTTAAAAGGTGTGTGCCACACGATAATTAAATTATTTGAAGACAGCTCTGTCCCAGGAAATAGCCCCAGGAGGAAATGGGTTTTGGAAAAGAGAAAGCAAATTGGTGTGCAGAGTGTTTCCCTGGATGAAAATATAAAAGCAGAACCACTAGCAATGCAACTTTTTTTTTCTGTAGCATCTTTCATACAAAGCATGTCCCCAAACCCCTTTTGGAGGTAAAGGATACAATTAGGAGAAAATTCATCTGAGTGATAAAGAGCCCTTTAAAATGATGCTTTAGTGGCTTCTAGAGTTCTGACAAAAATGGACATAAGAAGGCTTTTTGTGTGGAATATAACAAGACATTGTAGCAGGGCATAGGGGGAAATATATGGCATGAGAAAAACATATAGATGAGGTGTTTTCTTGGGAATATTAAACCAGAGCAGATAGCCAAAATAAAAATTATCTCCACTCTAAAATACATCAATAGGCATATGCATGAGGCATCCACTGCAGAGGAGGTGTTAATTCAAAGGGTCAGCTACTGCAGCCTAAGGCATTAGCAGGGCTTTAATACTGAGTCAGATAGAGGGGATTCAGTGGAGGAAAATGAAATATATAATGTCTGATCTTCATTGATACTCTGTCCAGCTGGACTAGAAGGTTTAAAGTAAGGAAGAAGACAAGTCACAGATATGGGAAGATTCTCCCTCCCTAAAACCCATGATCCTTGACAGCAGTAGACTTCCACTTTGATTTTTAGCAGTGGTTCTTCTCTTTGGAGGTGTTTTACCTCACTGAAATTCCAATAACTTAGACTAAAAAAGGTCTTGCTTCTGATTTACAACAATTTCAAAAAGCAGAACTGGGTTGGTTGTCTGCTTTTACCCAATGTCTAAGCATCCTTTTTTCAGTTCTTTGTATTCTGTTTATGAAAATTGGCTTAAGAAAAGTCAGACAACACACTTCGACAAAAATCCTCTCATATTTACTGACAGCATTTAATAGGTGAAATTTTCTGTAATGGGAATTAGAGCAAATGACTGTAGTGTCACGTATGTAGTAATGTTAATTATCTCTGTTCCTGTATTTTCTTGCAGAGTGAGTGTAACACACTTATCCATCTCTAGCACATCTGCAATGTGCATTACAGCTCATGGCCACTGTATTCCTCACCCATTCCAGTGGGAAACACACGTGGATTAGACTTCCCTCACAGCAGTTGGTTTGTGAGGCTAAATTGAGCCACAGGAGTCAGATCATGGGTTGATGTCCCTGGGCATCACCTCAGGGGTGAGTGGGGCCATGGGTGGGGGGTGCAGGGGCAGCTTGGCAGGACACAGGAAACTCCTGCCACTGCCATTTGTGTCACACATCATCTGGGGATAGACATTATCACTTCCTGAGAGCTGGAGGATTTGGTTTCTGGCTCTGTAAATATCATTATTGTCACCTGCTGCAAATTCATACAGACCCTAAGAAGAACACAAACCATTTCTCAGTCCTGCAAGATCAGAAAAAAATTATATATGATTGCTCATAAACTTGCTTCTGAAATCCAGATATGCAAAACTGGCAGAATATTTCTCAAGGTAATTTTTAAAGCCTGCATGCTTATATTTTATTCCCAAGTGAGTGTTTATGGTCCAATTATAATCCTTGAAAATAATATTCATAAAGAAAAGTTAACATGCTCTTGTATGTACCATGGTGGAGTGAGCAGGTGCCATGCTTATGGTGGCAGAGCATGTTGTACTATAGTTTTTTTCCCAGCATCTGTGCAGCCATTACAGTTTAACTAGAGTAACTATAACTCATCCCTGTCATTACCATAAAAGCATAATTTTGCCAGGCTAGTCTTTTCTTATGTTGTATATTTTCAGAACACAAAGTTGTAAACCATTTGATTTGAGATAGTAAATAGGCAATAAAAATGCTGTGAAAGATTTGACTAATCTTTTTAAACATTGATATTAAAAAGTTATTTGCAATTTTTATAATTATGACAAAGATCATGAAAGTTAAATTCAGACAAGTCATAAATCCAAACAGGGCTGAATTACTGCTAATTATGGGATCGTAGAATCACAGGGAGCATCTCAGTGTTTGGGACTGAATGCTGGCATGCCATCTTCCTACTGGTGTAGACTGGTGTCTCCCAGCAGCACAACTTCTGCTGTTTCTCACACTTGGTTGCAGTTTAGCACTTTATTCCAAACCTTTAAAATTTATCATATAATCAAAGAATTATTTGGAATGGAGAGGACATTTTAGGATCATCTAATTCTACTCCCCTGCCATGGGCAGGGATACCTTCCAGAGTGCTCCAAGCCCCATCCAACCTGGCCTGGGACACTTCCAGGGGTGAAGCTGCCACAACTGCTCTGGGCAGGCTGTGCCAGGGCCTCCCCATCCTCACAGGGAAGAATTTCTTTCTTCTATTCAAACTAAATCTACTTTCTTTCAGTTTAAATCAATGGAATCTAGTGGTGTCCTTCAGCAGGCTTTGAATCCCTCAACAACTACACCAGCAGTAAACTGCTTTCTTTTTTGCACTTTTTAGTACAAGATCTGTCTGTGGTGAAGAAGAGAGTGGGGGAATGCAGGTTCTTGTGCACTTTTTCTTATAGTTATTTTGATATGGGATGATGAGAAGGAGACTTCCCCAAACTTGGATGGGTACTTGGCTCTCCCTGTGAGAGATCTCATGGCATTCAACTTGGTGACCCTTTTTCCTAGGAAAAGGATGAGGCTTGCCTCACTGCCCACCTGAATTTCACCCTAATTTTCTCTCTGCTTCACCCACATCCATCAGCTGAATTCCTTTCCCTTCTGCATCTTATTTGTGTTCACATGCAGAACTTCATGGAAATAAAATTTCCACCGCAATTTGTGGTTTTCTGCTGGAGTTCAGTGAGAATTGTTTATATTTCCTAGCTAGGGGGTTATTTGGAAAAGCATTCCTCATCTGTATGCCTTCTAGCTGCAGCAGTGTAAAGCTCATGCATAAAACACAGCACGTGTTTCTACCAAAACAGGAACGTGGATAAGAAACCTTCAATGAGAATCCATCACATCAGCGGTGGTAAATAAGTGAGCAACTGCAGACACTCAGACATATTATCCCTGCCCTAGCTGGAAAAGGAGATTCACAAGGCATATGTGAAAATCCACTTCTGGAGATTCTCAGTTGTGTTTTGGCAGTGAAGAATAAGAAAAGGAGGATTCCCAGGGTGAAAAGTCAGTTGTCCTACCTACTCTAGTGTTGTGACTCTCTCGCTGTCATGAATTCATGGCTTCAGAGACAGTGGAGGGAGAATGTGGACAAGTGTCTAACTTTTAGATACTTATTAAGTGAAATTCTGCAATTTTAAAACACATTTTCTCCTTAAACCCAAATGTAATGGGTTTAATATTTTAAAAGCTTTATAAATAATTGGAAAATAAATAAATAATCACTTCTGGTTTGACAAAATTGGTTGGGTTGACCCGAAAGGACAATTAAAATTTTATATTCTGTCCTTGGTTTGCCCAGCACCTTTCTGCTGGAGGATGTTGGTGGTTAAAAGTACACATCCCTTTTTCTCTCTTTGATATGGATACATAAGGCAGAGATTCAGAGTTTGTGTGCTTGTGATTTGGTATTCTTCTCCTTCTTAGCAGCACAAGATTAAATCCCTCTGTCTGAGATTGCAGACAGAAACACAGGAGGGGATGTGCAAGCTTTCACCAGAGACCTGCCAAGCAACTCCAGAATGATTTAGGTTGGAAAGGACTTTAAAGCTCATCTCATTCCACCCCCTACCATGGGCAGGGACAACTTCCACTATCCCAGGTTGCTCCAAGCCCCATACAACCTGGCATTGGGCACTTCCAGGGATGGGGCAGCCACAGCCTCTCTGGGCAACCTGTGCCAGGGCCTCACAATTTCCAAGAATTGGAATCCAAGCCAAGAATTTCCTCTTAGTATGTAGTCTATCCTATATATTAGTGGGATTTTTCCTGCCTCTGCTATGAAAGCCTCTGAAATCCTGATCCACGGGGCTTTTGGAGTCAAGAAGGAAGAGCAGGGGGGTTTGAAATGAGGGTAACTTCATCGATGATGCCCACTTTTTGCCACACAGAGCACCTCTTGGGCTGGCACAACATTCATACCCCAGCTCAGTGTGAGCTTGTTTACCAGAAATGGACACAGCCTGGCACAGCTGCCTCACCTCGTCCTTCTCTGGCCATTGCTCATTCCAGCTGTCCAGAATCATTTGGCCATAGGCCTCCCTTCATACATTGTTTGAATTCTGCACCAGACACAGCTAATAACTCGGGCCAGGAAACTTGTTCCAGATGTTAATTAACTCCCTCTGCATTAACTGGAATCA